GGGGCACAGTGCCAGCGAAAGGTGAGCTAGCCACTGGGAGAATAAAGGGGGATTTGGGTAGGGGAAGAGGTGAAGCAGAAGTAGAGGAGTGGCAGCAGAATGGTATTGCAGCAAGAAGAGTGGGATCCCAGTGCTATCCCCAAAGCGTGTACAAGCAGGTATGAAAGAAGGAAAAAACCCTTCAATGCCCCTAGGTCCACCCCTGCCCACTCCTTCATCAAATTACTGTTTAAAAAGTATAAGTACAGCCCAGTGTGAATAGTGCAGGACTGTAATCCCAGTACTTGGGAGGCTGAGCAGGAGGATCGTGTGTTCTAGTCAGTCCAGGCTACATAGCAAGAACCTGTCTCAGGAAATAAACAAACAAACAAATAATAAAAAAACTTGTATTAGCAAGCCATACTTAGAAAAAGAAAGAATCCTGGGACAATAGAATGTCAAGGTTCCTTTAGGACTTAGTGTCTTTCAACATTGACCAGCTCTACAATGAGAAATTACCTCTCCTAACACATGCACATGTAACACACATTTGATGTAACGGAAATAAAAGCTGAACCACAAAGCACAGTTAACCTTTTACTATGCACTTTACTAATACACTGAAATGTTTTTGTTTTTTCTAAACACTGGTCAGGATCAGCTGCCTTGATTTTCATAAACTCCTCCCCTACCTTAGCCCCTAATGGAGCTGACCCCAGATAATAATTATCTGGAGACAGAAACTTCAAGTTACTGGTAGCATCAATGGGAACTAAGGTAAACTTGAAATTATAATGGTAAAAGCAGAGTTTATATTTACGTATTTTTTAAGAGTTGGAGTCTTGCTATTTTGCCCAGGCTGGCTTCAAAACTCCTGACTCAAGTGATCCTTCTGCCTCAGGCTTACTAAGTAACTTCTAATACAGGCGGTCTTATTTTATGCACGTTCACATTACAGGTAGAAGATAAACCACTGATCTCTTAGGCATGCATGCTGTAGGAAGGAGAACAGAGAAAAAGGGAGAGGTGGCAGGAGGAAAGTGAGGGTGGGTTGTAACATCAAAGCCCTGGAGCTAAGCTGGTAGTCCTGGTGACCCTGGGACCAAGGAAGGATTAGTCACAGAGCAGGGAGTCAAAGAGAGATGGAACCCTGCCAGAGCCCTCAGATTATCTGTCCAACCTCTTCATTATACACAGAGAAACTAAGACTGGTACTTGCCTGAGTGAACCAACTGGACCTGGAAGCTCTCCAGTGCCCCTGAAGTCCTGAGTGGCATCGTGAAGGTTGGAGGGGTGGCACTCCATCTGTCCCCAGTGTTCTCATGAATCCCTTCTTTTGCCAGTTGTGGCCATTGCAAGCCGAATACAATGTGCTCTCCAGTCACAGGCAGCTGTGAGTCCTGCAAGCCAGGCTGGAATGGAACACTGTGCAAGCAGCGATGCTCACCTGGTACCTTTGGCGAGAGTTGCAGCCAGCAGTGCCCCCGCTGCCGGCTTGGGGAGCCATGCCAGACAGAAACCGGGCACTGTCAGAGCTGTGACCCTGGTTGGCTGGGGCCCAGGTGAGGGGGTACCCTGCTCAGGGAGGATACCCTTTCTCCCTTTCCCCTAGGATCTTTACTTCTGCTGCTTCCTCTGGGAAAGCCACCCTCTCCCAACACACACACACACACACACACACACGCACGCACGCACGCACACACAACTCTGCAGCTGCCTCCTGGAGAGACTGATGGAGAAAGATGGGTTTTAAGGGGATCCTGTGCAAGATGCTCTTCTAGCTCTCCCACCATCCAGGCTTCCTGCCCTCTTCTCAAACCTTCAGGGCTATGTTGTCTGTCACCTATCAGCTTTGGCTCCTGGCTCCAGACCGTTTGCCTCTGAGCTGCACTAGGAGGAGTGTCATTGTGTCCTTGAGTCCAGCAATGTGGGGAAGATTGTAGGGCTCCCACTGTCTTCCCAGTCCCTGAGTCTAGCCTTCCCCAGGTGTGAAGACCCCTGCCCAACTGGCACCTTTGGGGAGGCTGCGGCTCTACCTGCCCCACCTGTCTTCAGGGAACTTGTGATGCTGTGACAGGGGAGTGTGTCTGCAATGCTGGCTACTGGGGACCAGGTGAGAACTGGGCCGTGGGGAGATGAGAGTACAGGGGCTGAGGTAAAGCCTATGTGTAAGGTCTCCTAACTTCTCTTGCTGAACCTCTCAAACTCTGACACCTGTCCACCATCCTCATAACTAAGAAGTTACCCCACTGTGCGGTTGCATTCAGGACAATCAGCTAATTCCTAATCTAAAAGGACTAAAAAAAATCAATAAATAGGAGTTTTAAACAGGAAAAAAAAAGAATCTTAAAAGGGAAAAATGAAGAAGAAAAACTAACTACATGGGGACTATACTTAGGGGCAAGCTCCAGACCCCTTTGTCATATCCTTGGCTCTTAGGGCAGAAAGTCGGGTTTCCCATCCAGAGGACAGCATGCAGTGTCAAGTGGAAGAGACCTCACTTTACAGAGAAGGGGAACATGGCTCAAGAGTTAGGGGTAGGGCTGGGCTGGCTCAGACCTCCAGACTGAGAAAATCTTCCTGGATCCATTACATCTTGCTTATTTCACATTAGTGCTGAGTGGGTAGAGGGATAGGTCTACACTGGCCAGCAAATAGCCTGACAGCTTCTGGGCTGAGGGGTTCTCCCAAACACTGCCAGGGGTACTTAGAATGTAACTCAGAAATCAGAGGAATCTGCTCTGATATTCAGGGACTTCTACCTGGCAGGGGGTGCCCAGGACTGTGCCCAGAAATCTACCTTGCCCTGATCCCTGCCCACCTCTGGTTCCTCCCACTCAGCCTGCTCTTCCTTGTTACCCCTAGCTGCAACAGTTCCTGCCCTCCTGGCTTCCATGGAAACAATTGTTCTCTGCCCTGCCGATGTGCCGAGGGACTCTGCCACCCGGTCTCTGGGTCTTGCCAACTGGGTAAGGTACAGGGGGCACTCAGACTGTGATAACTGTGGGTCCCAGGAGCCCTACTTGCTGGGGAGGCTTGGCCCACTTCATGCCTGAAATCTGTACGGATGCTCTGGGTCCCCCCGAGGATGTGACAGAGCCTCTGCCCCTGAGAAACCAGGTGGAGTCAGGAAATGAGTAGGCAGGGCTGGACTCTGGTATGGCATGAAAATTGGGACAAAAGATTGCGGAATGAGTCCTGGACATCAGAAGGGGACAGACCAGCAGAGAAGCCAGCTGGGGAAGGGGCACCTACAGTAAAAGATTCTGGGCCATGGAGGAGGCAACTCAGAGCTAAAGAGACGTAATATGTGTTAGACCCCAAGGCTTGAATATTTGACCATCTCTCACTCCCACAGGCCCTCATGGCAAGAGTGCCCTCATTGCAGGCATCCTTGTGCCTCTGCTGCTGCTCCTCCTGGGCATCGCCTGCTGTGTCTACTGCCGCTGGACCACTCGGTTGGACCCCAAGGACAGGTGAACGTTGGCTGGTGCCATCTGGTTTCTTTTCAGGAATGAAGAAGGGCTGGTCTTGCACATACTTAAATTGGAGGTAGTAGAGGTAGTTGGCAGTGGCCAAGGCCTGGAGATACCAAGTCAGCCACCTGCCTTCCCTGGAAGCTTTTGACCAGAAGTATCTGAATGACATGGGCATAAGTAGGGGGCACTAGGCACCATGTTGTCCAAATGCAAACCTGCAGCAGGAGGCTTGGCAGAGACTTGTGAGGAGGATGAGGAACACAGAAGCAGAGGCCCAACTCTGGGCAAGCAGGGGAATAGACCAGACCTCACTCGCCCCACAGAAAAGTCTGTGCAGGGTTGGTGGGGTGGCTTAAGTGGTAGAGTGCCTGCCTAACAAGTCTGAGGCCCTGAGTTCAAACCCCAGTACCACCAAAAAAAAAAATTCCTTCCTGTAGCTGAGCACTGGTGGCTCACACTTGTAATCCTAGCTACTCAGGAGGCAGAGATCAGGAGGATCACAGTTTGAAGCCAACTCAGACAAATAGTTTGAGAGACCCTATCTCTCGAAAAACCCTTCACAAAAAAGAGCTGGTGGAGTGCCCAAGGAGTTCAAACCCCAGTATGGCCAAAAAAAAAACAAACCAAAAACCAGTACCTCAAAAACAAAAGCAAAAATGTCTGTGCAGGGGTCTGGCAGAGAATGTGGCTTTCCAAGAAGATTGGCTGGTAGGGCTGCTCAGGGGATGCTGCTCACATTGCTTTGTTCTTTACAAAACCTCTTTGTACCCCTTGCTCCTTTGAGACTCACAAGAGCACAGAGTTTTAGGACAGGAAATGTGGTGCTGGAGGATTTTTTCCTCAATACACAGAGGACACTGAGGCCCCAGATGACCCAGCTAGGTCATCTATCTGTTCTCTTTGTCCGGGCTCTTGTAGTTTCCATGCTATTTGTTCAGCGTGTCCTCCTCTGTGTAGTCAGGCATTCACAGATGAGCAAATCCTATTGCCTGTGCCCTGTGGCGGAAGGAGGAAGAAGCCCCTCACAGGAAGATAAGGACATGTACAAAGGCTGTCAGAGGCACAAATAGAGTCATCAGTTCCAGCTTGGGGTGGAGGAGAGTGGGAACAAGGGCAGGCTTTCCTGGGGCTCAGCTAGGATGACAATCACAGAGTTGCATCTTGGGAAACTGCTGCCAGGTTCCTGGTATTGTATGGGTCCTGAAGAAATTTCTGATAGATAGAACTGTTTTCCCCATTTTACAGATGAGGACACTGAGGCCCAAGGAGGGAGAAGACTGAAACAAAGTTGTTACCCAGGTCTATCTGACTCTAGAGACACCTGTCTTCTGTAATTCAGATCTTGGGCTCAATACTTTGGATTTTCTTCTTTCATCAATATGGAGTCATTAAGCTGGGTATGGTGGTGCATACCTGTAATCCTAGCACTTAGGAGGCTGAGACAGAAGGATCACAAGTTTAAGGAGAGCCTGAGACCCTGTCTCTCAAAAAAACGAAAACCAAACCAAACAAAAAACCAAAGTCAATGAAGTAGATGTAGTCACCCTGTCACCCTGCTAGGGTGACCTGGATTACCTTGAGTCTTCTGCCTGACACCCTCTCTATCCACCCGCTCAGGCCAACAAGAGATGACCCTGCCTTGTCCAGGATGAAGCAGCAGGTCTGGGGAGCACTGAGCAGCCTGGGCTCTGCGCTGTCCTGTGGCTCTCTCAGCAACTACAGGCTTCCCTGGGTGACAGGTAAGTGGGCACGAGGGGTCAGGGGCTGGGATGGTACAGGCCTTCCCATGAGGCTGTGTACCTGACCTGGAGCCCCTACAGTCTCTCACCATGACCCGGAGGTCCCCTTCAACCACAGTTTCATTGAGCCGCCCTCTGCCGCCTGGGCCTCTGATGATTCCTTCTCTTCTGATCCTGAGTCTGGAGCAGAGGACGAGGGTCACACCTACTTCGTGCCACCCCAAGAAGGTAGCTCCCCAAAAAGTCCACTCAGTCTCTCTCTGAGCAGCCCTGCCACAAACTCTTCTGTATTCCTTCAGCTAACATGTATCTGGCACCTATTCTGTGCACTAAGTCTCCCAGACTCTCGGACACAGTAAAGAACAACACAGATCCCTGACCTTGCCACGCTTGTAGTATGGTAGGCAGTAATCAGATAAGTCATCAGGTAGTAGAGGACAGAGTGACACATACTTTGATGGAGGGGGAGACAAGGAGGGACTCATAATCTAGTCATGTGAAGGGTAATTGGGTTCAGGGAATATGTCTGTGTTTGTGATGGTTGGATTGAGTCTAGCAGAATCTGTAGGAGTTAGCCAAAGGAAAATGAGGCAATGGGAACAGTGTTTTCAGTGAAGGGAACAGCATCTGCAAGGCCCAGAGGGGAGGCCCAGAGTGGCACTACAAGTTTCAGCTTGGCAAAGGCTCGAAGCCAGAGGGGTGGAGAGAAAAGAGCAAAGAGGAGTAATAGTTGTTGATTTTTCTCCTCCTCCTTCCTTGCCGCATTTTGAGACTTGCAGGAAGATGCTGGGCTACAGGTAGGCTGCATTGAGGTGGCCAGCCCAGCTGCAGCCATGCTCTTCTATCTCCTCTGCCAGGGATGGTCCTCATGACCCAAGCAGAGTCACCAGAGGTCAGCCTGGCTGGAGGCTCCTTCTCTCCCCCTGAGGATGCCTCCACACCATTCCCTATCCCACGCACGTCCAGCCTGGCACGGGCCAAGCGGCCATCGGTCTCCTTTGCTGAAGGCACCAAGTTTGCACCACAGAGCTGTCGAAGTTCAGGGGAGCTCTCCAGTCCAATTCGAAAGCCCAAGAGGCTCTCCAAGGGGGCCCAGCCACGGCATGAGGGCCAGGAGCCTGAGGACTCCGCAGGCCCAGAGCAAGCAAAAATGGAGGGGGCGTCTCCTACTGCTGCCAACCCTGGAGATGCTAGCTGCCACCAAGTCCCTCCTTGTGGCCAGAAAGCAGCTGAGCGTGTGGAAATCATCAATGGCAGTGTCCAGGAGAACCCTGGCGCTGTAGCCACAATCTACATGTTGGCAGGGAAGCCCCAGAAATCTGAGGGTCCTGGCCGGTCTGTTTTCCACCGTTTTGGTAACTTCCAGAAAGGCCTGGCAGAACCAGGCAGGAAGAGTGCCTTCCCTAAGCCTTTACTCCGAGCCCTGGGTCAGAACAAGGGCAATCTGAGTCCTGGCTTAGCCTCCAATGACAAGTTCATGGAGGTCATGGGAGTTAGGCCAGGGGAAATGTCCAGGGGTCTGGGGATGGTATTGAGGGCACAGGGAGGATCCAGGAGCAGATCTCTGGGAACAGTCCCCAGAACAGGAGCTCCAGAAGCAAGCTGAAGAGGAGGGGCAGGAAGAGCCCCTGTATGAGAATGTCGTGCTCATGTCCGGGCCGCCACAGCACTGAGGACCTTGAATTTGTGGGGAAACCTATGGATGGGGTGCAGAGGGGATGGTGAGAGCACCAGAACTGTCCATGGGCCAGATTGTACTTTGTGTTGGAAAATGATCCTGGGGCCAGAAAAGACATACCAGAGCCTCTGCTCTGGAAGAGGCTAGGGTTAGAGGCCAGCTGGCTGCGGGCCCTGGCAGTACCCCCAGAGCCTGTCTGGAAGGCCTGGGCAGAGACCCTGCAGGACGGTGCCAGGAAGAGGAGGGAAGAGATGTCTGCAGGGACTTTTTGTCTGCTGCCCTGGATCCTGCCCCAAAGAACTGTGTCTTTCCTTCATTTGCAAAATATTTTCCTGACATGGGAAACAACCTAAATGTTTAAGCGAATATTTCCCATGATCTGTTGCAATACCGCCACTAAAAATCATGTCGTGCAAAACATTTAATCATGAGAGAATGCTCATGCTAGGCTGAGTGTGTAAAAACTTGCAGAGCTGGAGGTGTGGCTCAAGTGCCAGAGCAAGCTCAGGCCCTGAGATCAAACCCCAGAACCGACAAAAATGAACAAACAAAAAAAGTAAGTTACAAATTAGGGAACAGTACAGTGCCATTCTTTTCTTAGTTATCATTTTCTTTTTTTCTAGTGCTGGGCATTGAACCCGGGGCTTCAGGATGCTAAGCAAGCGCTCTACTTCTGAGCTACACCACCAACTCCCCTTCCATTGTTTTCTTTTTAAAAACTTTATTTCTTTTAATCTCAGGATACACATTTGGAATTCTCCCTTTTTGTGTATGTCTAGTGACTGTTTTATGAATTGTTTTTAAAAAGGATGTGCATAAAAAAGATTCAAAGGAAAAGCATCCAATTGTGTTTTTCTCTGGGAAATGAGATTATGGGTGATATTTATTTCTTCTTCTTCTTTTTTTTTTTTTTGGCAGCATTGGGGTTTGAACTCTGTCTCACACCTGCTAGGCAGGTGCTCTTATCGCTTGAGTCACTCTGCCAGCACTCTTGAACTTTTGTTAGAATTTGGAAATTTTCTACAGTAAGCATTTTTTAGTTTTTTTCACTAGATTGAATTGTTAAAGAAAAATGGTGAAAGGCAACTTGGTTCTTTGTTAAAAATGTAGAAATGCTACTTGGACATAGTGGTGTACCTTTAGTCCCAGCTATTCTGGAGGCTGAAGTGGGAGGATCATTCGAGCCCACAAGTTTGAGACCAGCATGGACTACACAGTGAGAGCTACAGATGTGAAGGGGAAAAGAATCGGAAGACTTCCCTGTTCAATAGCAAAGTACATGCCAGGCGCCAGTGGCTCACGCCTGTAATCCTAGCTTTTCAGGAGGCAGAGATCAGGAGGATCGCAGTTTGAAGCCAACCCAGGCAAATAGTTCTGCGAGACCCCATCTCAAAAAAAAAAAAAATAAACCCATCACAAGAAAGGGCTGGCAGAGTGGCTCAAGGTATAGGCTGTGAGTTCAGACTCCAGTATTGCAAAATAAATAACCAGAGCAAATGGACTAGAGGTGTGGCTCAAGCTGTAGAGTGCCTGCTTTTGCAAATGCAAAGCCCTGAGTTTAAAACCCCAGTACTGCAAAAAAAAAAAAAAAAAAAAGAGCTGGGTGCCAGTGACTCATACCTATAATCCTAACTACTTGGAGGCTGAGGTCAGGAGGATCGAGGTTTGAGGTCAGTTTGGGTAAAAAGTTTCAGAGACCTTATCTCAACCAATGGCTGAGCGAGATAGTACATGCCTGTCATCCCAAATATGGCAGGAAGCATAAATAGAGGGATTGTGGTGCAGGCCAGTCTGGGCAAAAACAAGTGTAACCAGAGCAAAAAAGGCTGGAGGTATGGCTTAAGTGGTACAGTGCCTGCCTAGCAAACACAATGCCCTGAGTTCAAAATACAGTACCACCAAAAACATTAAGAATGCTAACATTACAAACACATATAAAATGAAACAGACACATATAAAATGAAACAGTGACAGCTGGGGCCAGCTGAAGCATGACTTTTCTCTGAGTGCCTTTTGGTCTTGTTTGAATTCTTGGCTCACATATTGTGCTACACAGTCAGAAAAGAAGGGTGGGGGGGCTTCCCCTTTTATCCCAGTGCTGAGACCTCAATAACACTTGAAGCCCTTCCTTTCAGATTTTTTTTATACACATGTAAATATAGGTTTTAAAAACAAAAGATCAGGGTGGGAGGTAAAGGAGTAAGGGAGAGTAACAGAAGGGGTTGAACAGATCAAAGTAAAGCACATCCACAGTGGGCATGCACTGAGACGCCCCTTTGAACATCAACTTAAATATTAATAACGAATATAATGACTGTAAAATAGGTACAGTGGGGGGGTATGAGTGGGAGGTTGGAGGGTGAAGGAAGGAGATTAAGTAGATGGTATATGGTTGATGGACTTCATATACCTATATGAAACAGAACTAAGAAAACTCTAATTGCTTTAAGGGGGCAGGGAGGAGGTTGAGGAGGAGAGACGATGGAGGCAATGTAACAAATGTATAATATGTCTAATTGGAATTGTCACTATGAATCCCCCCATATAACAAAAATATCCTAAAAATCAATTTTAAAAAGATCATATTGAACATACTATTATGCAACTCGCTTTTTTTTTTTTTTTGTGCTGGGGATGGAACCCCGAGCCTCACACAAGCTGAGCCCATGCTCTACACTGAGTTACACCCATAGCTCTACAAAACTTTTTTATTTAGCAGTATAGCCTTGATATTTTTAGATGTCAGTAAATATAAACTTCCTCTTTTCATAAAAAATGATGACATGAAATTCTATTATGAGAAATAACCCAGGTTTATTTAAGCCATATTCCCTGCCCACGGACAGTTGTTTCTAATTACTTTGATGCAATAAATAATGATGCAGTGTACAACTAACTTTGTCCATATTTCTTTTTGTCCTTGGGCAAGTTTTTTTTTTTAAACTGGGGCTTGAAGTTAGGACCTACACCTTGAACCACTCCACCAGCCCTGTTTTTGTGTGATGGGTTTTTTTGAGATAGGGTCTCACAAACTATTTGCCCAGACTGGCTCTGAACTGTGATCCTCCTGATCTCTGCCTCCTGGGCAGCTAGAATTACCGGCTCAAGCCACAGGCACTGGGCCTGTATAAGTTTTTGATAGCATACATTCCTGGGAGTGAGGAATGTATTGTTGAGGTATAGGGTAACAATATTAGCCACTTCTGTTCTTATTCCAAATTGTCCTCTCAAAAAGTTACATGGCTTTGTATTCTCACAAGTTATGGAGGTATCTATTTCCTCACACTCAATCTACAGGTTAAAAAAATCATCTCATTATTTTAGCACAAAAAGAATAAAGTAGTACACATTAAACCTTTTGAAAGTTACAATGCTTGTACAAATTTTTAAAAATTTTTTTGAAGACAAGTTCTCCTATGTATCCTAGGCTGGCCTCAAATTCAAAGTCCTCCTGCATCAGCCTCCTGAGTGCTAAGATTACAGGTGTGCAACACTACCACCAAATATTTCTGGTGCTGTGGTTTCAACCGAGGGTCTCATGTTTGCTAGGCAGGTGCTCTACTAGTTGAGCCATGCAACAAGCTTCCCTTCCATATTTTAACTCATCAATACCACACACACACACATACACACATCTAATTAATTTCTATGATTATTCTAGCATTAAGGTTCTTTTTAGATCTTTAACAGGTAAATGTGTTATCTGGTTATAGCCACTTCTTTTTTGGGGTTTTTTTTTTTTGGCAGTACTGGGATTTGAACTCAGGGCCCTCATGCTGGCTAGACAGGCAGGCACTCTACCACTTGAGCCACTCAGCCAGCTCTGTTTTGTGTTGGGTTTTTTTCAAAATAGGGTCTCTCAAACTATTTGCCCAGACTGGCTTCCAGCCACAATCCTCCTGATCTCTGCCTCCTTAGTAGCTAGGATTACAGTTGTGAGTCACCAGCACCTGGCTTATAGTCACTTTTCTTTTGAGGTATTCATCTTTTTCTGATTGATTTGTAAGTGCCTTTTTATATTCCAAGGATATTAGATCTTCACTTAATTTGTGGCTCAGGCCACAATTTTTTTTTTTTTTTTGGTACTGGGGCTTTGCGCTTGCTAGGCAGGTACTCTACTAACCACTTGACTCACACCCCCAGCTAAAATCAATGAAATAATCATCTATATTTTCTTCTTGCACTTTATTGGTTTTATTTTATTTTTTGCAGTACTGAGAATTATCCCATGTCCTCATACATGCTAGGCAAGCACTCTACCACTGAGTCACATTGCCAGCTGTTTTATGATCTGACCACAAGGCTGCTGTTGGGACCTTAGGTCTACTGACAAAAAATAAAAGAGTTGTTCAGATACTGGCTTCAAGTTACAGTGCTTTTTGTTTTGTGACTTTGGAAAAGTCATTTAAAGCCCAGGTTTTTCATCTGGAAAATGGGGATAATGCCTGTCTCCCAGGGTGGTTTGTGGGGATTAAGTGACACAAAGGATTGTAAAGCATCTAGTAAATGTTTAACTATCAATAAAGGGTAATTATCAGTGTTACTACCATCATCCTCCAGCTTTGGATTTTGGGTCCTAGCACCTGCTACTTTTCTTTCCTTTTTACTTGGTCACATTTTCATTCTACCTATTCCGCACCTTGTGCTTGCTTCAGTTAAGGGCTGGTTATATAAAGTTAAGTAAGACACATTCCTGCTCCCAAAGAACTTATAGTTAATGGGAAAATGGGGATACATACAGATGAATAGATAATTATAAAACAAGGCCATCAATGGACAAAGACAGCAAAGGGATTCTGGAGAGTGGCAAGGGAAGGGCTTCCTGGAAGAAGTGCTGTCCAAGACCAGGCTATGTTGAGGGTCAGAACTGGAAGAACAGTAGAGCAGGAGCCATAGGTAATTCCATGTGATTGGAGAATTTAGAACCAGGCAGGTCAGACAGCTTCTAGAGGGAGGAAAAGATTGGTGGGTCAGTTTGGGGAACTTGAACTTTATTTTGCAACACAAATAGTATAGTATTTCTGAAGGATTCACCAAGATCAGATTTTTATTTCCCGTAAGTCACTGGGATGGGGTGAGGGTTAGATCTGAGAAGCTGAGACCAGGCCGATGAACAGTGGTTCTATGGTAGGGACAAGAATGAACAGATTAGATAAACAGGAGAGGCGGCTGTGATGTGGTGGGGTTGGGGTGTAGCAGGTATCTGTTGAAAGGATGGTTCACAGTACCTAACTTCAGTAGATAATGGTACTGTTGTCTGAGGGAGAACGGGGCAGAGTTTTGAGGGAGAACACATTACTTTAGAGAGGTAAGGGTCTGCAGAGGGTCCTCAAGCATGTGACTCAGGGAAGCCGGGTGAGGGGCTGGAGATTTCTCAGGTGGCAGCTGAAACCTTGAGTGGGTGAGATCCTGCAGGGTGGGTAACTAGCCCAGGACCCCAAACCTACTCTTCTCCCCATATGGGAAAGGGAGCCCTTGCAGGGTGGCCAGCGGCGGGTTTACGGCAGCAGGGGGCGCACTGGTACTAGGGGAAGTGGAGCAGGAGGCTTTTGGGACTCTCGTGGCTCTGGGGTAAACCAGCTCCCGTGGTACACGGAATCTGGGGGAGACCGAAGCTTAGGCTATTGCCTTTGATCAGGGAGACGCAGCCAGGCAGCTGAACCTTCAGAACCGGGGCTCCATCCCCCTGCCTTGGCAGTTGTTCGGGGCAGGTCCAGCCGATTACACAGGGAGGCTGGAGCCCCCGGGACCTTTCCAGACCTGTTGGGCTCTCCGAGGCCAGACATGCTAGCCGCTTGCCGTTACTCACAGCAACGCCTTGCAGAGAGAACCCTTACCTGAAAGAGAGGCTCGGGAACAGGGAATGAGGGCGGGGAGCACCAAGATGACCGGTCTAGGTACGGTCCCTGAGGAGAGCAGGGATGGGGGACTACCGTCTGAACAAAGCAGCAAAAGACGTAGACTTAATACGGGACAGAGACAAAGCCCCACCTCCTGCTTGCAAGACTTGTCAAGGGACACCTACGAGGACAGGCAGGTGACACTTAGGAGAGGGTTAGGGGCCAATGAATCAGGAGAGCGGGGAAGATGTACACTACGCTTGGACAGGGGTCCGGGGATCTGAGACCCGCAGAATGCGCCTGGATAGGGACCATCAGGGGCGGGAGAACGAGGAACAGGCACAAAGCAGCGCTGCGTGGGGAGGAGGCGATGGGGGGCTTCCAAAGTTGAACCCGTGCGAAGCGAGAGCATCTGGGCGCGGTGCCTAGGACATGGGAGAATTGCGGACTATGTAGCGGGCCAGAGAAGAACAGAGAACCGAGCTGGGCGTAGCGCGGGACTTCCACGCAGCTGGGGAAGTTTGGGGGACGCAGGAACACCGAGCCTGGGACCCACCTTAGGGTCAAGACTCCGGGCAGGGTCAGGAGACAATATATGGCAAGGCCCCCGGAGGTTCCCGGTCCGGCAGTGACTCCAGTTTGAGGCGGCAAAGCCGAGACACTGCCCGCAGCTGCCCCCAGCCCCCCCATCTCTCTTGTTTGTCTCCAAGTCCGGCCGGAACCGGCTTCTACTTGCCGGGGGGCGGGTGGGTGGCTGCTGATTGGTCAACGTCTGTTTCCAGCCCCCACTCAGCCAATCAGCGGGCAGCAGTGTTTTTCATTTTAGGGTCGGAATAAAAGGGCTGGAATAAAAGAGGACAGAAAAAGCGTCGGGCGGGCCCGATACACTTCGGAGTTGGGTGAGCTGGATCCCCGGGATGGGGGCCTCGGGCGGGGGTCCGGGGGGAAGGAAGAAGCTACACAAGAAGTGGCCTAGAAAATAGGTGAATATGAGAGGAAAAAGACTGGACAGGGTTAGGAGCCGCCAAGGAAGAGATGGTGAATAGAGGAGGGAGCTGAAGGATGGAGGGACTGGGGGTCTGCTCCCATGGAAACGGCTGATTGCCGAGGTAACAGCCCGGGACCCGGGGTCTCGCGGCTAGCTCGCGCCGCCGGTTTGAACCGGCTTCGCCTCTCCCATGCGGGGTTCGCGTGGCCGCAGCGCCTAGCGACCTAGACAGTGGCCAATGGCGCGGCAGTTCCTGTGCCATGAGGCCAATGAGCGCGCCGTGGGCGGGCCATTCCGGGGCTCGGTGCGCTGATCTTGTGGTTGAAGGAACCAGGTCTTGGAAAGGGTCTTGAGTGCGGGCGGGACGGAGCCTGTTAGGGTCCCTGGGAGTGGTAGCTATCATGTGTGCCCTTGCGCAGGTGATCATACCTCAAGCTGCCTCCGCTTCCGGCCCCCAAGCTAGCTATGTCAATCCTTCTTGCGGCCAGGACTAGTTCCACGTCCTTGAACATGCGTTAGACCCTTCCCGCTTCCATGCCTCGGTTTACCTCGGAGTGAGCTGAGCGAGAAGTCTTCCTGCCTGGTCAGGGTGGCTCCAGTACAGCCGAGGGCAGCGGTACGAGTCTGCAGCGGATATAGGGGTGGCCCAGGTCCCGAGCAGGGCAGGGTCTTGCTTCCTGCGCTGCGCGCACCTACAGCGCGCACCTGCAGCCGGGGTCGCGGAGGGGATGACAAGCTCTGTGCCCTGCGGCAGCGGCCGGGGGGGGCGGTTGCGGGATGGGTTGGGCTGGGCCGGCGCTGACGCCGAGGTCTATGCGCAGGTGGCTGCAGAGCCGGAGCAGGAGCCAGGCCGCCGCACAGCATCGCACCATGGCGCCCACCCTGGCCACTGCCCATCGGCGCCGCTGGTGGATGGCCTGCACCGCTGTGTTGGAAAACCTCCTCTTCTCGGCAGTCCTCCTGGGCTGGGGCTCGCTGCTCATCATGCTCAAGTCGGAGGGTTTTTACTCCTACTTGTGTACTGAGCCAGGTGAGTTGGGCGCCTGGGACTGGGACAGGTTCCTGGGAGGGGTGGGTGGTGATGAAGACCTAGCCAGCAATGCTCCCTCTCTGCGCAGCGCCTCTTTGGTATCCAAATGCCCTTTTGATCGTCGCCAAACTGCTGGTTTACATATCGTTATCATCGTCCCTGTTTTGTAGGTGAAGAAACTGAGGCTCTGAGTAATCTGATTTGCCAAGCTGTGGCCTGTGGTAGATTCAGAACTCCCACATCCAGCAGTTTTTCTATCAGTTTGGAACAGCTGGACTCCTGTCTGCCCAGTGCCTGCAGCATTGCTTTCTTGCAGTAAACATGCTGCTCCCTGATTGTAAGAAAGAGGAACTCTTGATTCAGGGTCTGGGGTGCAGCAGGAAAGAGGAAGTGGCTTTCCCTCCACCCCAGGGAGGTTTCATCTACAGTCTAGATGTTTTTCAGTTAGGCCATTATGAAATCTCCTAAGGGCTTGCTAGATATAATTTCTTGTCTGTTTTTACTGCTTTATGTTTCTCCAAAGGCCATTTCCTCCTATGACTGTGAGAAATCTTAGTGGATTTCCACCCCCATGGGGAGGAAGAGGAAGGGGGGCAGTTATGGAAATGATGCTAGGTTTGCTCCCTTCTCTTTGACCCACCATTAGTGTTGCAGGAGGCAGGCTGAGGATGCTGTGTACATGAAATCTGCCCCACCCCACCTTCCCACTTGGATTGCTGCAGGTCAGTAGGATCAGCCTACCCACAGGGCCAAAGCAGTTCCCAACCTCTACCCTCCTCCCTAGGCAACCTTATAGGACAGGCTTCCCTTTACCTCCTCCCTAGTCCCAGCAGTGGCTGCATAATAGGTGTCTCCCCAAGTGCCTGACCCCTTTGATGGAGAAATCCCACATGTGACCGTTGGGTCACCACCAGTGTGCCTTTTATTTCTAAAGTTCTTACTTAGCAGAAAGAGAAGGCTTTGGATCAGTTCTCGATGCCTGTAACCCAGAGTGGAATCCTTCCTGTTTCTCTTCTCTGATCTGCCTAGAGAATTCCAGAGTTATCCCAGTGTCTAGGGAGATAGCAGCAGAGGTTAAGGGTGGGAGAAAGGGAGGGAATTCGGAGGCTGCCTTGGAGAGGGCAGAAAGTATATCATTTATAACCAACCTTTAGCCTTTAGCCACTCAAAAATATTTCCTAATAGCCTAAGGGTTCTTGGCAGGCCTTTCCCCACATCAGCAAGAAATCTTGGGAGATGGGAGAGTCAGACCTTGTTCCCTGAACTAGCTTTCTGTTTTGCCCAAGAGCTGTTAGGAGATTAATGACTCTTCTGGAAGGAACAGGTTGGAGTGGTTGGCTCAGTCTCTTTCAGGGTACACAGAGAGTTTAAAACAACAACAACAAAATCATCATCCCTGGTCCTTGGACAGAGCTTTTAGTATCTCATCCCGGCCAGAGAATTGTTGTGGTCAGTTTTTTCTTGACTCACAGTGATGTTAGGAAGGTCAGAGTCTAGGTTTGTTTTTCTTTTTTTGTAATACATTGTTCACTTCTATAATTTATTGTATGGTATTGACAGCATGGAGCTGGTCACTACATTAATGGAACCTTGACTTCTTCCTTCCTTTGAATGGGAGGAGTCCAGAGATTGTGCCAACACAGCGCTGAGTTGGTATGTAAGCCCTTGAAAGACTTGACAGTTTACTCCTACAAACCAAAGTGAAGGTGAAGGGTCGGGATTGTAGGTTGAACATCAACTTCTTATCCCGTGCCTTTGCTCCTGCTTCTGATTTTGGTTTTTCTGATTATCTGGCAAACTTGCTGACCCAGCATCCTTGGCGGGAAAGCTTGCTGATTCCACACAGCTTATCTCTCTGGCCTCCCTGCTCCTTGCTTCTTGGAGTCTATCTAACCTGTTGTCTTTCAGAGCCAGAAGCTTCTGTGTCTACTTGACTGGCAGTTCCGGGCAAAGTTAGGGTCAAGGTTTGCACTTAGGCCTAATGTCAGATTTGGTGGATGGCTGAAGTGCAGAGAAGCAATTAGGTCATTTATTGAATTTATTCAATCAAACTTTTGAAGAGTTGATCAATTTACAGCTGGTTGAGATGCACATTTCTTAGCTTTTGGTTGCTGTTAGGACTGATGCTTGAGTTTCTTTTCTATCTTTCTTTCTTTCTTTTTTTTTTTTTGTGGTACTGGGCTTTAACTCAGGGCCTTCACCTTGAGCCACTCAACCACCCCTGTTTTTGTGAAGGTTTTTCAAGATAGGGTCTCCAGAACTATTTGCCTAGGTTGGCTTCAAACCTCGATCCTGATCCTCCTGATCTCTGCCTCCTGAGTAGCTAGGATTACAGGCGTGAGCCACTGGCGCCCGGCTTGAGTTGTTTTTCTAAAGGAAATTTGCCTGAACCTGTTGAAAAGTTCTCAGAACTCCTTGTCAGGACTTGAGCCAGAATCTAGCTACAGACACTGTGTTAGGTTCCAGCTTAAGGTGAGAGAAGAAAAGAAATAGTTCCTTTCTCTCTTGTCCCTCAGCTTGTTTTGCCTTGCTCACCAGACAGTAAGGAGAGGGGATGGTCTGGAGCTGGGCAGCTGGGTTCTGGCATTTCATAAGCCTTGCATGCTATCCATCCACTGTTGGCAGCTGGATACTTCCCAGGTCCCCTGATGTGGACAAGAGACCCAGTTGGGGAAGAATGGGGCTTTCCTAGGACTCTGTCCTTTTGGCCTCTAGACATGGCTGCTGTGGCCACCCACACTTGATCTCTCATTGTACATAGACCCCGTGAAGCCCAGTGTGCCCGGCGAGACCAACAGTGGAGATGTAGTTGGGATTGGGTGAGAGGCCTCTCTGAGGTTTAGGCAGAGGCCTGGATTGGTGAGTCAGGAGAAGAGGGCGGGGGGCTGAGAGCCCTGGAGCAGGCTACACCCTGGAGGAGATGAGAGAAAGACCTGGCCCAGCAGGAGATGACTGAGGAGGTGGGAAGGGGCCAGGACATGCAGGACCTAGGGGGACACTTGGAAAGACTGAATTTTATTCTCAAGATAGGCAGGAAGGAAGCCATGGAGACAGAGGCCCAACATCCAGTTCACCTTTCACAGGGTCTGATGAACTATTGAGGGCTTGTCACGTGCTGGGTGTGGGGTGAGGGCTATAAGGTAGAAGTCACAGCCTAACCGTGAGCATGAAGGCAGACACCAGTTTTGTGCTCTTGGCCACTGCAGTCACTCTGCCTGTGGTGATGGGGTGCACACCCTGAGAGCAGGACATTGGCTTCTGAGTCCCTGAGAGGGCAGAGAGCCTGCTGTCCCCTAGGGGAGGACAGAATTCCCTGCTTGTGGGTAGAATTCCTTGTTGCTTCAAGGTCCTCCCTTTTTATGGGCTTCTTTCATGCCCACGAGTCGATGGTTGACAACTTTCAACCTTTCACTTTTATTGCTATGAATATGAATATGAATATTGTTTGTTTGTTTGAGGCAGGGTCTCAATATGTAGCCCAGGCTGTTCTCCAATTCCCAGTCCTCCTCCCTTAGCCTCTCAAGTCCTGGGATTATAAGCATGTACCACCATGCTCAGCTTGTTTGTACTTTTCCTCCAGTTTGTTTATTCATTTATTTGTTTATTTTTGCAGAGTTAGGGATCAAACCCAGGGCCTCACACATGGCAGACACACTGAGCTACACCTGCAGTCCATCCCCAGTTTATTTTGAATTAAAAACCAATTCCATCGAAATGAGTAAGAGAGCTAAAAGCTGATGCTCACAGCCTTAGAAAAGAGCTTGTGCCTTTGGCTGTCCCCACCAGCCCTACCTTCTTCCTTCTCATTTCATGACCTAATTTCCCTCCCCCACATCCGCCTGCCTCCTCTGGCCTTTTAGTGTAGCTTGAAGGTCCTGCCCAACTTGGGCTGGCTTTCAGGGCCTTTTGGGAGGGCCAGGAAGCAATCCCATTCTCATTAGGCAATATTAAGGGACTCCTGGTGTTACCCAAGCACTGTGTGACATCTTCCCAGCCCATTCCTTCATTGAGGCAGCCTGCCCCTAACCTGCTTGGACTGCGTCAGTATAGCCAATGATAAAGAGCAGGAGCTTTGGGCTCTGATAGCAGTATTGGGGCTTGAACTCAGGGCCTACACCTTGAGCCACCAGCCCTTTTTTGTGAAAGGTTTTTTCCAGATAGGGTTTTGGGAACTATTTGCCCAGGTCAGCTTTGAACTGTGATCCTCCTGATCCCTGCCTCCTGAGTAGCTAGGATTATAGGCCTGAGCCACCAGTGCCTGGCCTCCTATACCTTTTGCAAGTGACTTATCTGCTCTAAATCTCCCCATACTGTCATGTGGGAGATGGGGTCAGAGTAGAAGGGCACTACGTGACTGAGGGATTGAATCCCACTGGGCACAGTGGTCACATTCTGCAAAGAAGAGGCTCCTGCTGCTGGGACCGACATGAGGGGCTCAGACTCTGACTGTCCTGCCTCTTGTTTGCTCTGGCTCAGCCGACCTCTCACCCACATCTCCCCCGCTGGACTGAGATGTTGCTTCCTGTTGCCGGATAGAATAAGGATTGGAGATCCTGGGGCAGGTACCCTCAGCAGCACCCCCAGGGGTCCACCCTCTGGAGCGGAAGGGCTTAGAAAGCAGCCAGTCAGAGAAGGGGCTGCCCAGGAATTTAGAGGCGTCACCAGCCATATACACCTTGGTGCTCTCAGCATCTCCAAGAGCTATTCTGGAGGCTCCCCACTCTTTGTTTGCCTTGGATGAGGGAGACCCCTTGGATGCGTGAGAGTTCAAGGAGAGCCTGAGTGGGGTCACACCACCCTCTTTCCTCCCCTGCTTCCTCTGTAAAGATCTTGTTTGTCAGTCTTCTGAGCAAGGCCCAACAGTACAGGGCATTGTTCTTTCTTCCCTGGCCCTGGCCCTGGCAGCCTTACTCCTGTTTTCAGCACACTCTTGCCACACCAATTCCTTGCCTGTCCTCTTGGTTTGCCCTCCATGGCTGGGCTAGGCTGGGCCACTCTGGCTGCCTTCTGTAGAGGCATCTGTTTAATGAACAGGTACAGGTGTGACCCCAAGCAGGCTGGGCTAGGTGAGAGCTGAACTTTAGGCCAGGAGCGGGGGGCACCCTAGGACTTGGCACTTTCTGGGTGCTTATGTGTTTGTCTCCATCCTGGCCCACCAGGGCCCAGTGGGAGCAGAGGGAGAGAGGCAGTGGAGGTGTGACGGAGTTTGGGCATCTGCTAGCACTGAGATTTTCTGTGTGAACTGTTTACTGCTAACAAGGGTTCTGGATTCACCAAAGGTTTAATTCCCTCCAGCATTGGTTCACTTTTTTGTTGTTTTTTTGGAAGGACTGGAGTTTGAACTCAGGGTCTTGTGCTTACTAGGCCAGCACTTTACTACTTGAGCCATGCCTCAAGTCCTTAATTCCCTCCAGGAGTGAGAGACTCTCACATTGCTCCCTGGGAAGACAAGTGAGGCCACCCAGCCCCTCCAATCCCCAGATTCATCTGTTGCTGAACATCACGGGCTGGACGCAGGCGGGAAGAGTGCCAGGTGGCCCCATTGGCAGTGATTTCTTTAAGGACAGAAGGCTAGTAGCCCAAAGTGTAGATTCCTGTCTCCGTGTGTAGTGGTTCCAGGATAAAAGAGGGAAGGACAAACACCCTCAGTGCTACCCCAGCCCCTCTATTCAGAGGCCTCCTGTCTAGTTAAGGGGTGACCAGATCTCCACACAATTTTGGACATTTCCACTCCTATGCCCACTTCTAGCATATCAAGGAGGCTGCCTTGGGTACATGCCTTGGGATTTTTTTTTCCTTTGGTGCTAGGGATGGAACCCAGGGCCTCATGCATGCTAGGCAAGTACTGTACCACTGAGCTACATTCCTAGTCAAGGCCTTGGAATTTTATGTTCAGTCTCTTGATGAGAAAAATCAGGGATCCAGCTGCGATTCCTCTCTGAGAGTCCTGAGGGGTAACCCCTCCTTATATGCGCACACATGCCACTCCATGTCCCTGGGTGTAGTAACTGGCTCCAGATCCTGCATGGCCACAATCAGTTCTCACCAGGCTGGCCATTCGTGGTCCTGTGGTGCCCTCCCTCCACCATCTACTTTTTTTTTTTTTAAGTGGTACTGGGGTTCCAACTCAGGGCCCCATGCTTGCTAGGCAGACACTCTACCACTTGAGCCACTCTGTCAGCCCTTTTTTTGTCTGGTATTTTTGAGATAGGGTCCAGAGAACTATTTTCCTGGGCTGGTCTTGATCTGCTATCCTTCTGATCTCTGTTCCTGAGTAGTTTGGATTACAGGAGTGAGCCACCAGCGACACCTGGCTCACCATCCTCTCTCATCACACCTGTGCTCGTTGGTTCATATCTGCACATTAACCTGGAAATGGTCATTGCTGGGTAGAAGCCCTGTCCCCCCAACTGCAGATCCAGTTCCTGTTGCTGCTGCTGGCAGGGCTGACACCTGAAACCAGTGCCCACCTGTGAAGTAGCTCTGCCCTTCCAAGAGCTGCCCAACAGCCAGTGGCTCAGGCCTGCTGCCAGGGCAACACCAGGACCATTCTGACCTGCATCCTAGTGGGCTCAGAGGACACTTTTGGAAAAGTGAGAGAAAGTGACAGGGGCGGCTTATTAGGTTTCATTTCTGTGGTTTCAGCAGTTAACCTTGTGGCTATAATCTCCCTAAATCCCCTCTATCTGCACCTTGGTTCTGCACATCCTTTTTCCTTTCCTCTGTCTTGATCCTTTTGGCCGTTGTGATCCGGTTCCATTGTTTTCACTCATTCAGTAAACAGCTACTGGGGCCAGAGCCTGCTGGAGTGCAGGGACAGGAGGTAACCAGAGCACAGTCCCTGCCCTCAGGGCTCAGAAGCCCAGTGAGACTGAACACATATTCATGCTACCACATGCACGTACTGTGCTGTTCTCCCTGCACTTGGGCCAGCTCTGCTCCTGATCAGTTGAATCATTACTCAAATCCTGAGCCAATAATAGAAATAATAATAACTTTAGCTGGGTGCCAGTGGCTCACATCTGTAATTCTGGATACTCAGGAGGTAGAGATCAGGAGGAACGTGGTTCAAAGCCAGCCTAGTACAAATAGTTCAAGAGACCCTATCTTGAAAATACCCAACACACACACAAAAAAAAGGGCTGGTGGAATGGCTCAAGTGGTAGAGTACCTGCCTAGCAAGCATGAGGCCCTGAGTTCAAACCCCAGTACCACAAGAAAAAAAAAAAAAGCCAGGCACTGGTGGCTCATGCCTGTAATCCTAGCTACTCAGGAGGCAGAGATCAGGAGGATAGTTGTTCAAAGCCAGCCTGGGCAAATAGTTTGTACGACCCTATCTCAAAATACCCTATCACAAAAAATTGGGCTGGTGGAGTGGCTCAAGGTGAAGGCCCTGAGTTCAAGCCCCAGTACTGCAAAAAATAATAATAACTTTTAGCTATTATTTACTGAGCCTTTTCTATGTGTGAGTTTTAGAGTATTATCCCTTTTTTTTGGAGGTACTGGGGATTGAACCCAGGGCCTCATGCATGCTAGGCAATTGCTCTGCCACTTGAGCCACAACCTCAGCCTAGAATAATGTCTGGATTTTCTCACCGCTCTTTCCAAAAAATTAGAGGTATATTGCTATTGATCTGTTATGTCCACTTTCAGATAAGGAAACTGAGAGCAAGATCAAGTCACTCCTCCAAGGTTGTACAAATAGGAAGTAAGGGAACCAAATTTAGAATTCAGAGGTCAGGTTCTGGCACTTCAATCTCAACATTCTCCCAGCAGGGCTGGCAGGTCAGAGGCTGGCCTATGACATGAATAAGCCCGACTACTCTCTTCTCAGTGGTTTGGGGCAGCCCTGAGAGGCCTGGGCAAGCCTTTGCCGACCTCAGCTTTCTAGCCTTGGCGCCTGAGGCCTGTAGTGAGGAGGCAGGCAGTTACCTGAGGAATATATTTCCTTGGCTTTTGCATCTAGTCAGTCAGCTCTGTCTCCACAGGGTTAGTCAGCATCTCTTAACTAGCAGTCCTACTCCCAGCTTGTCCCCATCCTCCCACCCTTAGCTACAGCAGCATATTTTCCTCCCTTTTGTTGTTTTCGTGCTGGTTGGACTTTGGAGGGGGCCCTTAAAGGCTGAAATTACAACACAAGTGCAGCTAACACACCAGGCTCAGCACCCAGCAGGGTCTGGGTGTGGTTACAGAAGACAGTGATACAATGACCCCAGGGAGAAAAAGAAGAAAGGTGTATCTCAGAGCCGGGCGTGGTGGCACACACATCTGTAATCCCAGCTATTCTGGAGGCGGAGATGGGGAGGATCATGATTGGAGGCCAGCCTGGGCAAAAAGTTACTGAGACTCCATCTCAATTAACAAGCCAGGCACGGAGGTTTGTAGTTATAATGCCAGTTTTATCAGAAGTGTTGGTGGGAGGATTGTGGTCTTAGGCTGGCCCAAGGCAAAAAGTGCAAGACTTTATCTGAAAAATAACTAAAGCAGAAAAGGACTCAGGAGTATGGCTCAAGTTGTAGTGTACCTGCCTGCCAAGTGCAAGGCCCTGAGTTCATACCCCAGTACCATCAAAAACAAAACAAAACAAACCCTTTCCAAAAGGGTTCTAAGATACAGTAAGTTTGGTGGTTATGCTATAAAAATACCAGGGGGAAAAGATGACATATGGCCTGTTCTGTGTTGGAGAAGTCAACTAAACTTCCTAACAGAGGAGGCAAGAAGGCCCATTCAGTCTCCGCAGAGGAGAACCAGGGCACTGTAGCGAGACTAGCACTATGACTACGGGGTGTGTCCATGGACAGAGCTGCTGAGAGGGTTCTAGAAAGTCTGGGGCCCACAGCCAAGGCAGTCTTGAGGTCTGCTGTTACAGGGTATAGGAGATTCAAGAATGGGAACTCTAACCTGGGGCTCTTAGGAACTTCAAGGAACACATGAAGCACTGAAATTGTGGACAAAACTTTGTGCTTTCTAGCTTTCTTTAGGATTCCCTGAGTCCATGATTCCTACAAAAGTTGAGAACCCTTACGTTAATTGCTTCACCGTGCTTGGGCCAAATGGACATCCAAGCCTGCTGTGGTCACCGGAGCCTTCAAGAGGCTCAGAGGCAGCTCTGGCATTCCCACTGGGGTGACTGATGCGCACCTGCCCCTCTGATCTTTGGGAATCCCTTCCATGTTCCTTTCCTCTACACACACAGAGAATGTCACCAATGGCACGGTGGGGGGCACCACAGAGCCGGAGCACGAAGAGGTGAGCTGGATGAATGGGTGGCTCAGCTGCAAGGCCCAGGATGAGATTCTAAATTTGGCCTTCACTGTGGGCTCCTTCCTGCTCAGTGCCATCACCCTGCCCCTGGGCATCGTCATGGACAAGTATGGTCCGAGGAAGCTCAGGCTGCTGGGCAGGTCAGTGCGGGTTCCCTGGGGGAAAGGGATAGGTGGGTGGAGTCCCCGGGCTACGTTCTCTGCTGTAGGGGATCCTAGAATGTGCTAGCAGGTACACTGTGGAATCCTGGAATGGGCTAGCAGGTGCATTGTTGGGCTCCCTAAATGACTTGGTTTTCTACTCTACCTGGTACCGAATCAGTAGGTACTGTGTGCCAGTACTGCTTAAAGCAAGCCTGGGACCAGGCCTGCCTAGGAGATCTGGAGTTGCTTGTCTTGAAGAACACTGGTTTCCAAACTCTTTTTTTTTTTTTTCCACCAGGAAAAAAAGATTTTGAACATATACCTGCAATATAAGCACAGTATATGTTATAAATGGTATACACATATATCATTCATTCTTCCTTCCTTCCTTCATGCTTTCTTTTTGTGGTGCTGGAACAGGGCCTTATGCATGTTAGGCAAGCATTCTACCACTAAGCTATACCAGAATCCACGTATGCCATTCTTAATATTTTCTGTGCTTTATGGTACATATACAAACATACAAGGACTGGAAGGTGTTATTCAGTAGTAGAGGACTTGCCCAGCATGAGCAAGGCCCTGGGTTTGATACTCACCACTGCAAAAAGTAAAAAGTAAGAGCTAACTAAAATTAATCAGTTAATTAAAATGAATGCAATTTGGAAAATTGTAAAATGAGGCTGAGTATGTAGCTCAGTGGTAGAGAGCTTGCCTAGCATGTACAAGGCCTTGGGTTTGATTCTAGCACTGCAAAAAAAAAAAATTATAAAATGGAAATTCAAATAGATCAACACCCTCTGGACCATGTTGTGCAGCCCCTGGGGTGTGTGTCCCTGGTCTGTAAAGCTCTACTCTGTCAGACTTGGGACCAGCTCACCATCTACTGACTCCCTTAGGTCAAGGTCCTTCCAAGCCATTTCCAATAGAGGATGATCACCTCCATGGCAGTGGTTCGCTGTGGGTAAGACCTGTGACCATGACTGGGTGATCAGTGCTGTTCTCTCCTTGGAGCTAAAGAGACCTTGCTATTCTGGGCAGAGCCAAGTGGAGGTATTCGGGCACAGCCTGTCATCTCCGCTGCCTGGTGGGCTCTGTCCACCCCTGGCTGAGTGGGCCCAGGAACCTGAGGAATGAGCCTTGGTCCTCTCCACTCTGAGGGTGGGAGGGGCAGCACAGTGTGGTATTCACAGGACCTGGTTGAAGCCCTACCTTAGCCTCTTACTAGCTAGGAGACCTTGGAAAGCTCTTTTTTTTTTTTTTCAGTGCTGAGATTGAACCCAGGGCCTTGCACATGCTAGGCAAGCTCTTTACCACTGAGCTATATTCCCACCCCCCAAGAACTTAAGTTTTTTGGTTTTTAAAATTTTTTTTTTCTTTTTCCTTTGATACTAGAGATTGAACTTAGGACCTCAAGCTTGCTAGGCAAGCTTTCTACCACTTGAGCCATGCCCAAGTATTGTTTGTTTTTATAAATGAGATTTATTTTCCTCATCAATAAATTGGGGCAAATTATTCTCCTTAAGAGTATTTATTTGTTTTGGTGTTGGAGATCAAACCCAAGGCCTTGTTAATGCTAAGTAAGCATTCTGCCACTGAAGTGGGCCCCTAGCCTCTAGAATGGCTAAATGAGGTCATGATTCTTTTTTCTTTTTTTGGTGGTACTGGGGAGGTAGTGATTGTTAATGTTCTGAAATGACACATAGTAAATACCTCCACATGATAACAATACATAATAATAGCAGTGATACACAGAGAAACAATGTACTATTATTTCTGCTTGGTTTCAGTGCTTGCTTTGCTGTCTCCTGCTTGCTGATTGCCTATGGAGCAAGTAACCCAAACTGTGAGTATGCCTTTCCTCTACCCTTTAGTCGGGACTAGGAGACTGTCCAGAGGAGCTTCCTAGCCTACCTGCTCTTACAGGTTGTACCAGACCTGGTACTCTCTGCTCAAGATAGAAGGGACTTATCTCAAAGGGGTGACTTACCTCAAATGGGTGGCAAGTAAGAGAGTAATCACCCCAAGAAGAAGGCTAAGAGGAGCTCTCAGGGTGCATAAAGCCCTCTTCTCATCACCAAGCCAATCCAGTCCCTGGTGGCCTTATTGATGCCACCCTGAGAGATGAACTCGAAGAACCAGGACACTTGTAGGACATGACCCTCTGTGCAGAAATCGTGAACTGAGCCTTCTTAAGGCCAACCCAAGCCAGCACTTGAAGGATGGCCTAGAACCCACCTTGTCTCTATCCCTGCTCAGAGCTGTTGATTCAGGGATTTTCAGAACAAATGCCAATGACTGAGAGCATGGCTGAAGTGGCAGAGTGCCTGCCTAGCAAGTGCAAGGCCCTGGGGAGGGGGGGACCTAAAATAGGACCTCTGCATCTTGCCAAAATCTCAGCCAGGTTCATCTACTAACTTTCAGGAACTTAAGTTTGTAGTGTCAGTGTCAGTGAAGCAGCCTTTTTGGGCCTCTTTCTTGCAGCTAGGTCAATGGAGAAAGAAGTGTGGGCATGTGCCTTTTGCAAGAGCTCAAGCTCTGTGAGGTAGGCAGAAAGAGGAGGGTGAAGAAGAGGCCGCTCCAGCTCCCCAGGTGTCAGGCACTAACTCCAGATGGCTTGTCCTCCATTTGTTCTGCGTCTATGGGGAGCCTGCTCCATGCCGGGCATTGGGCCAAGCATTGGGCCAAGCCCTGGCCTCCCCAAAGCTCAGCTGTGGTTCCCTGCTTATGACTCTGTTTTCCTACAGCTCTCTCTGTGCTCATCTTCATTGCTCTGGCTCTGAATGGCTTTGGTGGGATGTGCATGACCTTCACCTCACTAACGGTAAGTATTGATTTTTTAAGAGCGTTCTCTAGATTAGTAATCTGCTTGTGAACTTGAGGCAGCTTTTGTTGTTTTCCACTTCCTTGCCTTCCATTTGCTCACATTGCCTGATGTCCCAAGCAGTGCAGGGACTGTGGGTGCAAGGCCGTCATGGCCTCCCAAGCTGGGAGGTCCAGCAGGCAGCAGTACATGGCTCACAGGGTGACTCGCTCTCTGCTTTCTGCCCTTGACTTTGGTGCTGAGGAAGCAGCTCACTAGCCATGCACTTAGGGAAGACAGGAGCAGGGAGAAAAGAGCTGTTGTTCTTCCTTCCCACTTTTTCCTCTTATTTTCCATGCTGTTGTTCCCAGGGTCTCTGGAAGCTCTGACTAACAGTGCAACCAATAAGCAAATCTCCCTGGGAATTTCTCCAGTCCCCACCTTTGCCTTTACCCAGAACTGAATGGAAAAATCCAGAGAAGCACCTGTGGCTCTCTTCTTGATATTCTCAAAGCCAGGGCACAGTAGTCCATCTGAAGAGGGAGATGTTTTGCTGAGTGTCCCCTTCTGGGAGCATAGGGTCCTACAAAATGGGCTTCTTTTTGAGATGAGGGGGCAGAAGGAAGGTGCAGGTTGAAAGAAATCAAAGAAGGGACAAAAGTCTTTTCCACAGGGCCTGATTGGGCCAGTGTGCCATTCAGAGATGCTCTTCCGAGACACTCTGTCCAACAGAGAAATCTCGCCTGCCTCAGTTTACCTGTGAAAGAGGTTTTAGGATACCATATCTACCATTACTGTTTGCAGTGCACTCTGGTTTCTGATCTTCCTTTATGCTTGTGAGTCAGGAGCCACACTGTTGAGAGATCCTTGCTTTGCTGTAAGGGAGCTCTGGGGACTCTGGTCCTTTAGTAAGGAGTTGTCATCTCCATGAACTGCCTATAGGCCATGAAGGCTGTATCCAACGCCTTCTCTGTTGCCCCTTCCTGCATTTGCCTTGCTGGAAGTGCCTGGGCCTAGGTCTGTGGACATGGAAAGTTCATTGCAGTCCATATTAGGTTAGAAAAGCCAGTGCAGGCAGTGTGTGTGACATGCTCTGGGTAAAGGTGTTCGTGGGCGTGTGTGACATACATCCATTTAGGGACTCGGTGGTTTTGCCTCTGCTTGTTGCCAGGGAGAGTTACTTTGTACTCTTTGGGACTTATTTATTTATATATATTTTTTGTTTTTGTCTACAGACAGGGTCTCATTTTGTAACCCAGGCTGGCCCCGAACTTTCCGTGTGGCCCAGGCTGGCCTGGAACTTTTTTTTTGTCTTTTCTTTTTTGGTGCTGGGATCGAACCCAAGGACTCACGTGTGCTATGGCCTGGAACTCTTGAATGCTGGAATTATAGGTGCTACTACTCTCAGCTTATTTTATTTTTTTAACCAGGTAGTTTGTTTTTTTTTTGTTTTTTTTGTTTTTTTTTTGTGGCACTGGGGTTTGAACTCAGGGCTTCATGCTTGCAGTGCAGGTGCACTTGAGACACTCCTCCAGCCCCTTTTGCTCTGGTTATTTTGGAAATGGGGGTCCTGTGAACTGTTTGCTCAGGCTGGCCTTGAACTTTGATCCTCCTGATTTCAGCCTCCCAAGTAGATAGAATTACAGGTGTGAGAACTAGACACTCCCCTCTCCACCCTCCTTTTAAACACACAAATTCCCAAAAGAAAACAAATGTTGAAACTGTGGGAAGTATGTTCACACTTCAAAAATACACAGATTCCATTAAGTTGTGTAAATTGTGAAACGGGAGTCGATTCTGTTTGTTCTTGGACAGTGTGAAAACCACCAACCCTTTTATCAAGATGAAATATAAAAACTTGGCGCTGCTCCCATTATTTTAGTCATGCTGGGCCTCTGTTATGGCAGGTCTGAATTTCAGGGATAGAACAACAAGACGGTTGTGGGACTTGAGTTTAAGCTTCAAAATGCAGCTCATAATAAAACTCAAGATAAATGGGGGCAGGCAGCGGCAGAAAACTTCCCCAATGTACATGAGACCCTGACTTAGAGTGCCAGCACTGAAAAAAAAAAGATAAATAAATAGATTAAAAAATACCATGCCATGGGTCCCCTTTAAGAAAGCCTTTAAGCTGAAAGTGGGGCTGTATAACCTGTAATCCCAGCACTTGGGAGGCAGATACAGGATGATCTTGAGTTCAAGGCCTGCCTGGGCTATATAGTAAAAGAAAAACCAAGGACTGGGGATGTGGCTCAGTGATAGAGCACTTGCCTAGCATGCATAAGGCCCTGGGTTCAATCCCCAGCACCACCAAAATAAATAAATAGCCTTTAAAATAAACTCAAGCTTTTGTTCAAGAAGCTTTTATGAGAAACTAATAAGTCCATAAATACTGTTTTTTTTTTTTTCTTCTTGTTTTTTGTATTTATAAAGTAAGAGGCTGGCAGAGTGACTCAAATGGTAGATCACCTGCCTAGCAAGCATGAAGCCTTAAGTCTGTCTTCACCAGTTTGGAATATATTTCTTCAGTATTGCTTTAAATCCGTATATTCCAATGTTACTCGTTTTTAAAAAGCCAGCCTCAGTGACTCACACAGTAATCCTACCTACTTGGGAGACAGAGATTGGGGGAATTGCCATGCCTGCCAGCCTGGGCAGAAAGTTTAAGAGACCCCATCTCAACCAATAAAAAGCTGGTGGCTCTCACCTGTTATCCAAGCTATGCTGGAAGCATAAATAGGAGGATGTCACTTTAGGTTGGCTGGGGCATAAACTGAAGATACTGTATGAAAAATAACTAAAGGAGAAAGGGCTGGGGGCATAGCCCAAGTGATAGAGTACCTGCCTAGCAAACACAGGCCCTTAGTTCAAATCCCCAGTACTGCCAAAAAAAAGAACTGTTAGAATTCACTTTGGCACCTAGTGAGTCTTTTACATTTTTCCTGTTGTACTTAGAGATCTGCATTCTTATTGTACTCTAAAGATCTCTCCCATTATTAAACAGTTCCATATTGTTCTGTAATATAGATGTAACACAATTTATTCTACCAGTCTTCTACTAATGGATTTTTGGATTGGTTTCCAGTTTTTCCAATTAATTTATGAATGCCGCCAAAGTGAACATCCCTGTACATGTATTTCTGTAAAATGAATTCCTGGAAGTAGAATTGCTGTGCCACAGGATTACCATGTTTTAAAATTTAATATAGGCTGTCAAATTCTCTTCTAAAAAGGTTACACACCCATACAATCATAGCAGCAAAAGTGCCTTTTTCCCCATTCCCCTCTAAGCCCAGCTCACTCATCATTAAAATATTGGGTAGGCAGTCTGACCTGGTAAAAAATGATGTACCAAGATTTTAAATGTTTTCTTTCATTATGAGCAAGCCAGACATCTTTTCACCTCTTTATTGTATGTCTTCTGTGAATTGCTTCTCTGTACCATTCGTCCTCTTTTCTACAGAGTTCCTTTATTTATTTATTTATTTAAATGTTCTGTAAGAGCTCTTTCTGAGTGAGTGGGGATCTTACTGGAGGGCTTTTAGGCCTCTATGTGGTCTGTGAATAGGTTTCAGCAAAGCTGCTCGCTCCTTGAAATTATTTGCAAGCCCGTGGTGTGTATGTGCTACTGTGACTGTGGGAGTGTCCCTTGCTTTCCTTGTCTTCTGAAGATGGGTCTGGGTGAGGCTGAAGCCACTGTGTAGGATGTTTCTGTGAGCTCCTGGCTCTCCCCCCACAGACAGGTAGGTAGGAAGCTGCCCGGGCTACATAGTGAGAAGCATTTGATTACCAGGGATCTGAATAATGGAGAATATAGCTTGGCCTCTAAGGCTTCCATTCTTGGGTCTAGAGCATGGGTCATCAAACTGCCACCCCTAGGCCTAATCTAGACCTCTGCCTGTTTTTGTCAACACGGTTTTGTCCTCGTGCCTGTTTGAGCTTGTATTGTCTATGGCTGCTTTCATGCCACAGTAGCAGTCAGGCAGTCGTGACAGAGACCATATGGCCAATAAATCCTGAAATATTTACTGTCTAGCTCTTCATGGAAAAGGTTTTCCAGCCTTTGATAGAGGTTCAAAGAAGCTGCTAAATCACTTTTCCCCATCCATGGGTGGGGGCTGACACCCCTCTTAGCCCCCTACATTCTCTAGCTGCAAAGGCCAACTCTCTAAACAATTTTGAGGTCATTCCCCTACATGGAGGGATCTCCTTGGATATCCCCTATCCCACAAGGCTTGATCTCGTGAGAACAGACCCTGGAAGTAGAATAGGAAGCAGGTCAGCGAGGACAAGCTGAAGCTGTTGGGCAATGTTCTCGGCTGGCTGGGGCCTCTGCTGAGCAGAGCTGATTTCCTTCTGACACAGCCCAGGCCTTTAAAAAGGGGAACTGTCAGGAGCAGCTCCCAGAGACAAGCTAGCAGCACAGTGCCACTTTCTGTCTGTGTCTCCCACCCATGTTCTCATTCGGGGGACAAAGAAGTCTTTACGGTTGCCTTTAGGAACTTCCTAAACAAAATCTGCTTTTGGACAAAATCAAAAATTGTTTTTGAGCCAGGGATAATTTCTCCTTGATAACCTGGGAATGTGAGGGAATATGTTGCCATGGAAACCCTAATTTGAGGACTTCTTGAATCCCAAGGGGGTTTTGTGTGACATGGCTTATCGTCTAAGTAAAGACAAAAGGGGCTGTGGGGTGTTACTCCATTGGTGGAGAGGGGGCCCCAAGTTGGCAAAATACCTTTCTTTATACTGCAGGAGATGGCCTATAGCCTGTCTCCCCCAGAGCCCGGGAGGTCTGACTCTGGGTCATTCTTTCTTCTAGAGTGGAACTCAGAGGGCCGTCCCACAGCCAGCGCTGGCCCTCTCAGGTCCCTGCAGCATGAGGCCTGGGCCAGCGTGTGGCCTCCTGGGGGGAAGGCGCCAGGCCGGTCCAGGGGACCTCACTCCCTGTGGTGTGGCGTCTGGGCCTCCCCCTGGACAGCTGGTCAGCACACTCTGGTCTGTTTGCTCACTGCCTTGCGTTTGTGCAGCCCTTTAACTCGCTTCATCAGCTGGAGCACAAACACCGGCCGGCTGCTGAGATGGCGTCTTTGGGCCGCCACTCCACAGTCCAGGGCCTGAGTTGCTTGGAGATGGGAGCAGATGGAGCCAAAATTGTGAACATCTCTTTTCCACTTCATTACCCTGACCCCTGTCGGTGTGGGTGGGATGGGGAGTTCTGAGCTGAAGCCCTCACAGAAAGGGGGTTACAAAATGTTGCTAGGCTCCTTCAGGAAAAATTTTGCTGTGGCTTTTCCCATTTGATTCATTGAAGTCTGACTTTAAACCTAAGTAATAAATAATCCCATGGGAGCTGGACTGGAGTTGGAAGAAAACAGGATAAACATTCATCTTCAGATACCTGAGGGAAGCTGGGTGCCAGTGGCTCAGGCCTGTAATCCTAGCTACTCAGGAGGCAGAGATCAGGAGGATCATGGTTTGAAGCCAGCCCAGGTAAATAGTTCCCAAGACCCTATCTCAAAAAAAAACCACCACAAAAAGGGCTGGTGGAGTGGCTCAAGGTGAAGGCCCTGAGTTCAAACCCCAGTACCACCAAAAAAAAAAAAGATATCTGAGGGGAAGAGCAAGGAAACAAGTGTCTCCAGTGAAGGGACAGGAGGTTAGCACTCTGCTCAGAAAAAAGGCCCCATGGTGCTTCCCACCCCTTCTGGAGAACCCAGGTGCCAAGCGGGCAGGACTCTCTTTTTTTTATTCATTTATTCAATGTGCATGCATTGTTTGGGTCATTTCTCCCCCCTGCCCCCTCCCCCGTGCAGGACTCTCTTGGTGCCTGGAACCTGTTGGGCCTCTGATCCATGCCTTGGGAACCTAAAGCAGTCAACTGATCACCATTGGCTTGGAGCAAATTTGCCCATCACAGGTTTCACCTCATCAGTTTGCTCCAGCATGTGACATGGGCAGGGGTGGATAGAAAGTGCTGTAGGGACATCATCACGGCTGGATCTGGCAGGTGGGGAGGGAGGTAGCTGAGGGAAGGCAGTCCCCCCTCCCCACCCCTTCAGCAATGAAGCGGAAAGGTGACCACAAGGACCTTCTCCCAGGCAGTGTGTGCTGAGAAGCACTTGCTTGTTTGGATTAGGGAACAGGCCAGCTGTGCTGAGTCCGCTTGTCTAGACCGGTACCTGGATCCTAGCCTATACAGGTTGTACGGAACACTGGGTGTGTACACCAGTCACCTGAGGACAGAGCTTACCTCTACAAGGGG